GAATGTGCTTCCTTACTAGAGATAGCAGCATGATTGGCTTCAATAACTCACTGATCCTATATTATTATATTAGCAGAATGTGCTTCTTTACTAGCGATAGCAACATGATTAGCTTCAATAACTCACTGATCCTATATTATTATATTAGCAGAATGTGCTTCTTTACTAGAGATAGCAGCATGATTGGCTTCAATAACTCACTGATCCTATATTATTATATTAGCAGAATGTGCTTCTTTACTAGAAATAGCAACATGATTAGCTTCAATAACTCACTGATCCTATATTATTATATTAGCAGAATGTGCTTCTTTACTAGCGATAGCAACATGATTAGCTTCAATAACTCACTGATCCTATATTATTATATTAGCAGAATGTGCTTCTTACTAGAGATAGCAACATGATTGGCTTCAATAACTCATCTTGTTAGAACACCATAAAAAAACACTTCGAAGAAGAAAAAAGAAACGATGCATAATTGCGCATAGTTAATCAAATCAAAGATGACACATTTACCAATTGAACTATATATATACGTATATATAATTTATAGGAATATACTCAATTATAATACTTTCTATGGAATATTATTCATTTTATATGTATGAGAAATACGATTTTTCTGTATTTTTATATCACTTAACTCTAGAACAACTCACCTGTCTGTAATCTTGAGAACAGAAGCAGCCAGATTGTCATGGTTGATAACAGCATCTTAGAAGTGAACCTGAAGAGAATGGATGAGCCGCTGCTGTATGTCAACATTTCGTGCTACAATGACAATCAGACTAATTGATTAAAAATAACTGACATCTGTACTTGTTTGATCTACATTTAAAAGTGTTGATATTTGGCTTAACTTGATCGTAAAGTCCCCCAAATATCTCGTGTTTCACGACGAACGACAATTTCGTTAAAAAAAAACCACCCAAGTAAAATCAGAAAGTACGTCTTGGACAGGCTGTGTTTACGACTTCCACGAGCGCTTATTCTCTACTGAACGCGAGTGAACGGCGGTTCCCGGTATAAGCACTGACTGCAGATGACCGAATGGTGGCGCTGAATATATATATATATTACCTGCTACATCATAAAACATTTGGAAGTAAACAAATTATTTGAGTAAAGCCTTCATTTTTCTCTAAGGCTTAAAACAAGGCCTTAAGATCTGGTTTTAGGTATTATATACATAAATAATTTCATGACTATAAATTGTCCATCAAAGCTAAGCCTAAGGTTTACACGTTCCATAATCACTTACATACAGATAAACTAGATAGTGTGTAAAACCGCTGTTAAAGACATGGCTTCAATGTCTCAGCTGCAGAAGAATGACAAAAATGTCGCTGCTCGGTGAATGAAGAGTAGTGTTTTCTAAAATCTTCTCTGTTTTTTTTATCAGCAAAAAAAAGTATGTGTGATTAAGTGAGGTCTAAAATGTTCATCTGTTTTAATTATACACGCTCTACAATAATATTGTTTGAATTTATTGATTCTCGCCTGTCGGATATATATTTATGAGAAGAAGATAACAGATTCCGAAATGTAAGCATGAAAATCGAAGTTTACACATAGTATAAAAATATCCCTCATGAAATTTACAAAGCTGTTGTAAGAAACATCTTCGTATAGATCGTAAAACGCATTAGCCAATGTTTTGTGTAAGCGAACATACGTATCAAACTGGGGTACCATGCAGACAAACACGTGTAAGATTTATTGATGACAAGCTAAGGAAACACTGGGATATTATTACAAAAACAAACTACACAGTGAGAAGGTGTTATTTATAATATTTTATTATATATGTATATTTTATGGGAACAGTAAAAACCTTTGCTTACTTTTATCATTTAAACTTACTACCACAACCGTAATATAAATATAGTAACTGCTCCTTCTGGTTTAAAATCAAGTTTTGGAATAATAGTTCTCATAAAACTTTTTTACTTATTTTTAAATTATAAATACCCACGCAGTAACTATAATTTTGTTTAGAAAGTTTCTCAAAAGTTGTTACTGTTTTAATCCTTTACGTCTGTGTATTGATAACAACACATACATAAATTCATTGCTTCTAAAATATTAGTATTTTGATTTCCTCGTTGAAATTACTGAATGGTTCCGAAACTCTATTTACAAGTTATACTTGTAAGTGCTAAAGTATTTTCAAAAACGACTTTGTATTATGTTTTTGGAGTGCAAAATGCCATATCAGTTTTAGGCTTAGCACTGAAAAGAAAGCTAATAAATTGCATTTTTTTTATGGTTTTAGGCTTAGCACTGAAAAAAATTAAAAGCTAATAAATTAAGTGCTAAGCCTAAAACTATAAAGAAACTGAAAAAAAAAGCTAATAAATTGCAGTTTCTTTATAGTTTTAGGCTTAGCACTAAAAAAAAGCTAATAAATTGCAGTTTCTTGTCTACAGTTTGTTTGTTTGTTGCTAAGCGCAAAGCTACACAATGGCCTATCCGGAATCTGCCCAGCGCGGGTACCAAAACCTGATTTTTAGCGTTATAACCCAACAGTTTTACGGCTGAGCCACCAGGAAGGGGGGGGGGAGAGGTGTGTTTATAGATAATAATAATAAGTTTTTCTAATCATCCAGAACCGCGAAGATTATGCATGCTTTACAAGAACAAAACGAACAGAATATTTTTATTGTATTATTTTGATGACTGGTTTTCTCTTTTCCTTCCATACACACACACACGCACGAATATATATATATATATACATATGTATATGTATTAGAAAATGTAAATAAACTAATAATGTTAAACTATTTCGTCACAAAGCATCTTTCTATGTATCAATATCTGTGCTAAATACAAGTATAACAGACAATATGTTAGAAAAAATTAAAGGGGGTAATCGCATGATACTTTATTTCATTCTTGGAATAAATCTTAGTGTTTTCAATTAATCAATAACCATATTATAATACGTAGCACTATAGACAGTGATTATAGTACGTAGCACTAGAGACTGAAACATTTTACCAAATATAAAGTGGACATACTGTAAAGCTAACATAATTCAGGTCTTTAGACTACATGTTCCTGTAACCTGAACCATAGAACCAAGATGCACTTTTCTGTAAAATGTGTTTAGAATTTTTAATTTCATTATATTTATTAGTCTCCTTGAACCTGTTATCTCCATACTTATCAACACGTGATGAGTCATATTAAATAATAATAAAAACTTCCCTTATCTGGTCAATATAATGTAAGCGAGACTAAACTGCCCCCTGGTGGCTCAGCAGTAAGACTAGGGACATATACCTAGGAGTTTCGATACCCGCGGTAGACAGAGCACAGATAGCCCATTGTAGTAGCTTTGTGAACTGATGGTTAAAGGGACGGGCATAAGATTGAGCAAAATTTGAGACATTATGAGAATGTCGTGAGGTATTCACTTGAAATTCATGCGTTTTATCGGGGTCTGTACTCGTTGCATAAGGCGATGAAAAATGTCTTAATTGTTCAATTACTTCTCATAAGCTTGCGCCTGCCCCCCTTAACAATAAAAGGCATTTAAGTTAGAAAACGATTAGAATTTGCCAGCAGATATTAATTTGGTCGCGAGGACTTCTCTCTTAGCAACAATATTATAGAATTTTCTTGTTGAAATTCTTAATATATGTTTCGAGGTTTAGACTCAAAGAAGCTTCGAGGTTTAGACTCAAAGAAGCCTAGGGTAGTGTGAGAGGAACAGTTTTTTTTTAATGATCTACAAATAATCACATCTTCAATATAATTCCAAATATTTAAGCTCTTAACTTAAGCATTTAGCGATCACTTCAAAAATTTTCAGAGTACGTAAATGATCTTATCTCAATGCCGAAAAAAATTCATTTGATTACATAAATCTCGTTCAAATTTTCAATACTTACATGTTGTTACTATTTGTTTAAAAAATGAAATTTACATAAGGCATTTTAAATATTCATGGGTATTTACCATATTTTTTCTCTCTCTCTCTCTTTCTCTTTATATATATATATGTACACACACACAAACAAAAAAGAACGAAATCATTTGATACAAACTTGTAATTTACACGTTGTTTTTAACGGTTACCTAATTTACTTTTGTGTCTTCTTTACACTTTCAAAAGCTTAAATCATAAGAACGCAGAATGCAAGGTGCAAGTGAGTCGTCTAAAGTTTGTCCTTAAAGGATTAGTTAGAAATATTTCAAGATTATGCATTACCCGATGGTCATCTAATCTGGATCAACTTTTTATACCTTTTAAAATTTTATGACAGCTTTATGTTGTATGTCATTGTCACACACACAAAAAGTTGCAATCTAGTTTGGTGTTTAATCTTAAGTAACTTTTAATCCAATTCTACAAACTCTTGTAGAGGTGTGTCGCTGGAAGTAACTGTCACCGTGACGTTGAACGGATGATTAAAAAAAACAAACAACAAGTACGTGGGTGGAATAGAAAAAGAGAGTTTATTATAATTCTAGATTACGTAGGCACTACACATCATGTAGCTACAGCTCCTATAAATTGGCTGGCGAATTTGCTGCTGTTAATGGTTATAAAGAAATTGGAACAGTTGAACTCTAAAGTAAAACCTGTCAACTAAAGTGGATATTTACTGTAACTCTCTTGCTTCGTTTTCAACCGTTGTACGTTCCGTTTATATTGTAACTTTCTTGCTTCGTTTTCAACCGTTGTACGTTCCGTTTTTACTGTAACTCTCTTGCTTCGTTTTCAACCGTTGTACGTTCCGTTTTTACCGTAACTTTCTTGCTTGATTTTCAACCGTTGTACGATTCATTTTTACTGTAACTCTCTTGCTTGTTTTTCAACCGTTGTACGATCCGCTATTACTGTAACTTTCTTGCTTGGTTTTCAACCGTTGTACGTTCCGTTTTTACTGTAACTCTCTTGCTTCGTTTTCAACCGTTGTACGTTCCGTTTATATTGTAACTTTCTTGCTTCGTTTTCAACCGTTGTACGTTCCGTTTTTACTGTAATTCTCTTGCTTGATTTTTCAACCGTTGTACGATCCGCTATTACTGTAACTTTCTTGCTTGGTTTTCAACCGTTGTACGTTCCGTTTTTACTGTAACTCATTTGCTTGGTTTTCAACCGTTGTAGGTTCCGTTTTTTGAAAATATTCGCTCTAGAAATTGATTTGAATACTGAGACTGGGAAAAGTATATGCTACAATGGACGAATAACATTTTAAAGAAAGTGGATTTTTTTCGTTATAAAATTACTTGCGTAATAAAAATTATATTTGGAAGAGATACGAGAATTAGAAATGAGATATCTAGACTAAGACCTAAAGAAAAATTTTAATGTCTGGTTACTGGGCTGGCTAATCTCTGTCATGTCTGCTTGTACATCAACAAAAGAGGTATCTTGAAATGTGTTCATAGAAGGAGTTTATAAGAGAGTAGATTACGACAATCCAAATTTCAGATTAGAAAATACTAAAACACACGTGCACAAAAAACTTGCATTTTAATACTATTTAAATTTCTCACTTAGTTTTCTCCAAAAGAGGCTTATCATATTGTTTACTCCATAAGTTAATTTCCCCAAAACAGGCTTATCATATTGTTTACTCCATAGGTTAACTTCCCAAAAACAGGCTTATCATATTGTTTAATCCATAGGTTAACTTCCCCAAAACAGGCGTATCATATTGTTTACTCCTTGGGTTATTTCCCCCAAACAGGCTTATCATATTGTTTAATCCATAGGTTAACTTCCAAAAACAAACAGGTTACTTTCCCCAAAGCAGGCTTATCATATTGTTTACTCCATAAGTTAATTTCTCCCAAACAGGCTTATCATATTGTTTACTCCATAGGTTAATTTATCCCAAACAGGCTTATCATATTGTTTAATCCATAGGATAAGTCTGTTAGAAAGAGGTTAAACTCATTCAATACCAACAAAATTGTATTTTATTGTTTAATCCATAAGATAAGTCTGTTAGAAAGAGG